CGAGTACTACAATTTTGTGAACTTCTGCAGTATATCCGTTTTGTCTGATGTTTTTTCGAGGATCAAAAGTTGTCAAACCTACAGAACCAGCCACATTGCATGACCATGGATACTCACTAGTTAATAACTGTGAGATTAAGCAGAAGTCTGGCATTTATTACTGTTTAAGAAGAATGACTCAAAGGCTGATCTATGCACATAAATGAAAGAGATTCTTTATTTGTATAAAACATCTATAATCCCCCTCAGAAATGGAAACAGAGGCCATTTGAGGCTGTTTGCCATTCACAGTGCTGGAAGGGAACACCTAACAGCAGTATTAGCATAATATAGTCTTCTAAGAGTTGCAGGCATGCATCTCAGCAGTCACTGGATAAATCAATAAGGCTTTTGAAGAATCATCTTTATCTTTAAGGCCTTTTCTGCTGAATGTTTTGGCCTTACTTGGATTAATAGGCTCAGGAGCAAGTTTCATATTGTGGGGTGGCTGGCAGGTTCGATATTTTAAGCATCAATTTAATGGGTGACAGTGATTCAGGCCCTCACAGCTGGTCTGCTGTACACACTAGTTTGTAGATAACGATTGATGTTTTCATCTTAATGAGGGATCCACTTATCCGATTTGGGGTTTAGGTTTTGCTTTTTCTGCTAATTTTCACTCTCTCCTGGATGGATTTAGTGTATTAGTTTTTGCCGTGTAAAATGGAAATTCTTCTCCAAGGCTATGGTGGTTTCTAAAAATTTTCTGAAAAAATGTCCATATTTTGAGAATGGACAGAACGGCCACTCTGGGTTTCCCTAGAACGGTATTTCTGTGTCTTCAAAACAGGATGTGTTTCTAGAACTGTTATGGGGTCTTTACTTTAAGAAGACTCTGATCAGTTACCTCCACATCTTAAGGCCACTACATGCTAAATTCTGTAATTAATGCAAGTGTGAATGCACATTTGAAAAAATATTTGAGTTATCCTGCAGGAACAGCACTTCTTTGAGAGCTGTTGTCTTTGTGGGTTTTGTGACTCCCTCTCTGTTACAGGGGTCTATACTTCGGAGCTTGTGCTAGCAAAGAAACTTGGGGATGAGTGGTCTCCATGATTTATGCACTTGTTACTGGTGCTGCGTGGGTCTACAGAGTAGGTACAAGGCCCCAAGAGAGACAAAACACTTTCCTCTTGCGTGTATGGAATGTGCACAAGCTATTTGACTAATTGGCAATTTTGGTGGGTTGACCCTGGCTGGACGCCAGGTGCCCACCAAAGCTGCTGGATCACTCAGCTGGATAGGGAAGAGGAAAAAAAAAAATATATAATGAAAGGTTCTGGAGTCGAGGTAAAGATGGCCTGGAGTACCTCCTCCCCTCCTTCTTCACTGACCTGGGGGTCTGCAGGGCTGTTTCTCTCACATATTCTCACTCCTTTTCTCTCGCTGCTGTTGTTACACAGCAGGGGTTTTTTCCCCTTCTTAAATCTGTTCTCCCAGAGGTGCTACCACCATTGCTGATGGGCTTGGCCTTGGCCAACGGCGGGTCCGACTTGGAGCCGGCTGCCATTGGCTTCATCAGACGTAGGGGAAGCTTCTAGCAGCTTCTCACAGAAACCCCCCCTGTAGCCCGCCTGCTACCAAAACCCTGCCACTCAAACCCAGTACAGCAGTATTACTGGAAGAGTGGTAAGGAACCTGTGTAGTTCTCAGTTACTTGTCTGTTCCCTGGCAGGGTCAATTCTCATCAGTCTTCATAGTCGCATGTGTTGTACAGTGTGTTTTTAAAAGCTGTAGTGATGACTCTGCAGTAATCACAGTCATGCTTCACTATTAATTATCCTTATCACTAACTTTCCCTTGCTTCATTTTGGTGTTATTTTGTATTGTCCATATCCATGGAAAAAATTATTATTTCCTTTTCCTTGTATTAGCCTTTTCTATACTGAAAAGTCATTATCTTTTCCTCTCTTGAACATTTTTTCTCTGGACTAAATAACCCCAATTCTTTTACTGTTTCCTAATGAGCTCTGTTTTCAAGGCATCCATTCATTTTTTGTTCTTCTCTGTTCTTCTTGCCTATATGTTTCTTGAAATGCATTGCCTGTCAACAGGGAACTGCCAAGGCTGAAATAGAATCTATCAGTTCAACCTGTTTGGGTGGTTTTTTTTTTTTTAAAAAAAAAGTAAAAATACTTACTATCTGATAAGTAACCATGTTGTCTGATGCTAGCACGTTATTTAAAAGCTACAGCCGGAGGCATTTACTGTTGCTCTTACGGTGTGTCTGAAACTTAACAAAAGAAGTCACTTTAATGAGCTTGGCAGAACCCTCTGGTCACATCCACAGTCTCCCATAAAAGGCATCTCACCCACCACTGCTTGCTGCATTTCTTTCTTTTCCCTCCATCTCTCCAAATATGCTCTTGTGGTCACTTTGATAAAAACCTACGCAGCCGTCTCCCAGTTCTCACTCCACTCTGCGCAGGTAAATGCTGTGTCAAGCACTAAGTGGTTTTGTTATCCAGAACCGGCAGTGAGATAGGACTGAGATTGCAGTAATCGAAAGTAAAGACATGTCTTCAGCCAATTTTTTTAAGTGTTTCCTTACATTCAGTCTTGGGTGAGAGGGATATAGAGAGGTAGAGGTTTCCCTTGTGATGCTAAATCAGTGGTACGTAGGGTCCTCAACCCAACAGAGGTGACGGGAAGGACCCTCTAATCCCAGCAGATTTTTGCAGGTACTGCTAACGTGGTCGTCTGAACGAGCGCTTACTGCTGCCGCCCCAACGATCTGGTTTGCTCACGTGCTGAAATGGCTGGCATGGTGATTGCCTTGCTTTAACCCTCCTTGTCTAGATTCATGCGCATTTAGATCAGCTCAACCTTTACTTCGTACACTCGTATGAAAACTGCTTCCAGTACTATAACTTGTTCCCCAGATATCGTAGTACTGGATAGTGGTATGTAAATAGTTAGCCATTAAGAATATTCTTCTAGTGAGAATGTTTCTAGGGATGTTCTCCCACTGAGTATTCTTACCCTAATGTTTCCGTATCTTTTCTTAACGAATAACACAGTAACGCATAGTGCTTTCAGAGGGTCCAGGATCCAAAAGCTAAAGCTAAACAAATTTGTGCCACAAATGTCTTTCTGAACTATGTACCATCTAACTGGAAGTGATCATTCTGTTCTGGATTAGGTGTTGAAGCTTGTCAGCGCTGTAGAGGAACTCCCTTTAGGTGACTCCCTATAGATAGTTCTCTCTGGTCTTGACCCATCTACTCTTAAAAACCTAAAAGTTCAGCATGAATTTTTGACACATATTTATAGATGCAAATCAGGTAGTTTATATGTAACTGGGCCAAGATAGAGCTTTTAGTTCTCTTCAGGGTTTCTTTTTCTCCAGTTACCATAGACTCCACCTATATTATATCTCTTATGCTATGCCTTCCTATTTTGACTTGGTCCTTTATTCAAGGTCAGAGTGTTATCTGAATTTTACTGATAAATTTCTGCATATTTTCTCAAAGAGTGTCTCTTGACAGTATCTTTGCTAAAAATCATTCAAGCCATATTGCCTCTGTTACTTCACAATTCTATCAAATCATGTTCTGAGGTATCTTCTTTTTCAGTTTAGTCTTATCCCATCTTACAATTAATTTAGAGTACCCCTGTAGAAGTTCTTTTTCCTGGCTCATTGCTTTCAGATCCACCTCCATCTCTCCATACTCCACTGCATCAAATACAATTAGATGTCATCTTTAATATTCTTTTCTGGTTTATTTCATGTCTCACTAGTCATCTCCTCAAATATTAAGATATTGATCTTTTCCCACCTTCATGTGAAAAATGAGGATGTTCTTGATTGCTTATTTTTCAGCTACTTTTGAGCTTGCTTTTCCAGTGAGCGCCTCTTCTGTTTTCCTCCTGTAGACTTTACAAAAGGGAGAAATCCTTTTTATAAATCTAACAGAGCTGTCTTGTAGTTATCCTTAAAGCTCTTATTCTTCTCAATTACAAAGTATTGGTCAGGTAGTTGATAAAAATGTTTCTATAGTATGTTCATGTTGCATAAGTTATTTTGGGGCATGGTAGCTCTTTTTGAAGCACTGCACAAACGTAATAAACGGCTGAATAATGTTATCTCTAAATTAAGAAGATACTTTTGCAGAAATGTAGTGATAACATCAAGTTAATTAAAATGTGTTCTAGCAACTAGCTGGTAAAAACAGTTTTACATCATGGGGATCTACCAAATACGCCTTCTTGGAAAAGATGCTTCCTATAGGCTTAGAAGGAACTTTATCCCAGTTGCTCATTTACCTAATAAACATTAGGCTCTGAATAAGGCTTTTACAGAGTTATGTTCCAAAAGTAAGTAGAAATGACACTAGAAATGAAAGACACTTTGTCCCGTCAGTAATTTCTATGAGTAATCAGACTTGAGAGGGAGGATTAAGTCTATAATTATTTTTCCTATGCATTATCAATGAAGGAAAAGCTACAGGAAACTGCATATATATGGTTTTGCGTAGACAGTGTTCATAAAAGAATAGGAACGCTGTCTGCACTTGCACTATATATATATCCTTAAAAAGAGATTGGAAGTTCATAAAAGCTCAAATACTTGAGTGGGGGGTGGAGGAGTTGTCGTTTGATTTTTTAGCTGCAAAATATAAAGTATAATTTAAAGACTGGTTTAGAAAGCACTTGAAGTTCCTAATATTGGTGGAGGGAGGTGGGAGGAGAATTGATATTCTTCTTTAATAGGAACCTAAGCACTATTGCTGGAGAGCACGGAAGGAAAGAAATGAAAATGACAAGCTTTCTTTTCATGTTCAAATCTTAATGAAATTTATAAAATGAACAAGTGAAAAATAAATGATAAGTTAATATATTTTTTACAATGTAAAGCTTTTCTAATACGAAGAGGCGGGTGGGACAAGGAAATGTCATTCTATAGTTCTTGGGGAGAAATCAGACTTTGTAACTATTTGCAATTGATCCTACTATCTTAGGTTTTCAAGATCAAAGCAGTGCAACTGGCAGGAAAACTTCTTCCAGCCTTCAACACACCTACGGGTATACCATGGGCAATGGTGAATCTGAAAAGGTAATGAATTTTCTTTTGTGGGGCAGTGTGTTCCTCCCCCTCCCTCCAACTTAAAATTAGTAATGGCATATGTCAGTTTTTCTTTGTAGTGGAACTGTAGAAGATGCAGACAAATGGGCATTCCTGGCACTTCAGAAGAATTTTAATAGAGTTCAGAGCATTCTACCTCATTAACTGAAATAAATTGTGACCATGATTTTTTTCTCCTGATTCTGCAATAAGAATTCAACATGCTATTGGAACATACCCAGTGTATTATACCATGTATTGCCCTAGAGCTTAATCATTGATTCTTTAGTCATTAAAGAACCTAGTAAAAAACAAAATTGTTTTCAGGCCATGGTTGAACTTACAGGGTTTTGTGTACTGTGTGAGCTCTACGTTACCTTTAGAAGACTCACAATGTTTGAGAAGATGATGGGACTCTGAAGCTGTTAATTCATTATACGGTTCAGTTTAGGTCTAAGGGCTAGTGTGCTGAAGTCCACTATGGTCCATGGAGATGGAAAGGCTCCTTTAGATGGCTGTTCAGGTCAGACACTGAACTTAGATGGTCTGGATTGCCTTGTGGAAGAGAATTGCCTTGTCTGATTTACTTTGTAGTGCTTGTTCAATGCTGGGATTTCCCTCAGATTTTGAGAGCGCGTTTCTGATGCAAGGCATTTTTTAAATTTTTATTATGTTCTTAAACAGTAGCTGAATTGGAGTGCATGTCTAGACTGTGCGTGCACTTAAGCAATTTGGGATAGTAAATAGCAAAGAGTTTTTGAGTTCTTTTAAATTGTTTTCCTTTTAGGAGAGGTATTTGTTGTGCTTTGTTAGATGGTGAAGAGGTTTAGGACTACTTTGAGAGCATTAGCCTTACGTGCCTTTTTGCAATCAGGAAATGATCCTCACTTCGCTGTCACTCCTTGGGTGAAAACGATGGAGCTATGGTTTGCCCTTCTGTTGGCGCAGGGCCTCACCACACTTGCCTGGTTTTCTCTGCTTCGCCCATGCTGCACTTTCCCCATTTTTTGAACTTGTGTACAATTAGGTTAAATTTCCCTATGCGCTTTCTGCACAGCGTTATGGTTTACTCAGTCTTGCGTTCTTCCTGCAGTTTCATACAGCGTGAACTTCCTCTGTGTGCGAGCTAGTTTTTTATTTTTCCTATGTTTAGTCCAATCCTGGACCGTGATTCCAGTATGTTTGAAGGGCCCAGGTGGCCATACTCCTCGGGCAGCAGCACAGGCGTCTGGTTCACTGGCTCGAGCAACATACATGGCAAGGTTTAAGAACCTGCAAGCAGGGGATGCACGGATACTTAATAGTAAAATAATACAGAGGCTGATTGCACAGGTCGGGTATCAGAGCACAGTCAGAAAAGCAGGACCAGGGAGGAGGATTTGCAGTAGGCAGAGGGGAGAGGATTGGAGTACCAGAAATTTCCTGCTTGCTGGAATGGTTTATGCATTTACTGTGTCAGTCTCTCGGTAATGTACAGAACCAGCCAGCATCACAGCGGAAAATAGCGGCTGGTGTGCCAGAGGGCAGTGACAGTCACAGCCGTATATGAGAACACTTATCATGAGGCTGGCATGCAGTAAAAGACAAGACCTGAAAATTATTGACTTGTCTTTTATTAGCTTTTGTATTCATAATGAAACACTTGATTTTCTCTTTTTGAGAGCTGTACCAAAAAAACCATGAGACAAGCTATCATTTTGTAAACAGCAGTTACTGTATTTTAGAAGGTGGTGTTCTGTCTCGGGTCAGAGCTGCAAATACTGCTCCATAACCAACATTTTTCCTTTACATTCCCTCTCTCTAATTTGTAATTTAAAAAATAAGTAAGAAGGCATTCCTAGTTGATTGTAGTCATACTGATAACTGAAATCTTTTACGAGAGGAAGTAGAACTAATCTCTAGGAAAACGTAGTTAACTTCAGAAATTACAAGACCTGATCCTGAAAGGTGGTGAAAACTCCCAAATTAGATTAAGCCAGATGTAATTTAAGTGTTACGACTTAGCAAGATGGTATCTCTTAGAGTGCAAAAGATACGAGGTATATGATACTTTCTGTTGATTCTTTATGTGAGCCTGAGGAACTCATGATATTCTACCTACAGTAAACATAGTGTTTTCCTATGGAGATACAGCCAGGGCCAGCTCCCATCCTACCGGAGTGTCTAATCCTGACTCGAAGCATATGCCACATAAGTAACGGGAACTCAGCAGGTATTTGGCAGAACAAAGAATCGAATGCTGCCGCCCTCAGGAGCATACTCTTCTCATCTGATAATTGCTTTTGATTCTTGTTCTTAGGAACATCCAATGAATAAACAACAATCGGGAATGGGCCCAGTGTTAAGTCATTGTATTTCTGGGACATCAAGATATTGTATCTTTTAACCACAGGACTTTTTGTTGATGAGGTTATGGTATCTTCTTTTGAAAAAGACCCAACCAATGAACCAACTGATCAATCAAGTCCTGTAATCTTAAGTATGGGTTAATATTTTACCATTACTTGTTTAATTTGCTGTGGTGGTTGTTACTAGTGCTGTGCACAGTAATTCTGAATTTTTTGTTGTTTTCTCCCTTTTTTATGCATATTTGTGGGAATTCAGCGGTGTGGGTCGAAACTGGGGCTGGGCTTCTGCCGGCAGCAGCATCCTTGCTGAATTTGGTACTCTGCATATGGAATTTGTCCACCTCAGCTATTTGACAGGGGACCCTGTATACTACAACAAGGTAGGTGTCAGATGCAGTTTTTTATCATACAAGTGTCCTTTATACTGTTTCATCATAAATTGTATTAAAGGGGAAGTACTTTCTGTATTGAATTCTATTTGCATTCTTGGTAGCAGGTAAATTTTTTCATACTTGTATTTCTGTTACCAAGTAGGTGACTTTTTCAAGCAGAAATTTATGATAACAGAAGTTTTCTTATTAGTTTCAGCATACCATTTAAAAATAATAATTTTTAAACATGTTTATGTGAGCAGTCGTTTGAAAACAAAACCAAAAATGTGCTAATCTGCAGGAAGCCCTCAAGAAAGCTTCTGTGTTCAGATTAAGAAAATTTACCACTAAAAAAAAGGAAAAAGAAGAAAGATTAGATTTAACTGTGTGCAGAGAGCAGATGAATGTTGTTAGTGGTGATCCTGATTCTTGATTTAATTTAGGTCATGCACATTCGGAAGTTACTTCAAAAAATGGATCGTCCTAATGGACTTTATCCAAATTATTTGAATCCAAGAACAGGCCGGTGGGGTCAGCGTGAGTATTCTTATTTTATTCATTCCTAATTAAAGCTCTGCTTCTTTATTTGTCACTGAGTTGGAGATCAGAACAATTATTTTGTAGGGTACAAACAGCAATGCTTGAAAACGTGCAATGTAGAAGGATTACTTAGACTTGAGATCTCATGAAACCAATTTTTGCCTGTCACTATCTCTGAAGTCACGCAGCTCGGTTTGTGTGGTACTTTCTGAAAGCAGCTTCCTACCAAATCTGATGCCTATCTTAACTTTTATCAGTCAAAAAAATCTTCAGTAATAAAGAATGAGGCTGAAAATAGTTTCCTCATTTTGATTTTGTTCCTGGTTTTGTTCTGCAAACCATCTGGTAAGTAGATTACCGTAAGGTAATGTACAAGTAATGGATGTTTATATTGGTTAAATTTGAGGTCCTTCACCTGGTGTTAGGGACTGACATTTGCAAACATCATTATTCTACTTAGTGGCATGTGAAATGGCATGATGAACCTCCCTATAGATCCTGCTGGTATCAATGTGTGTCTCATTTAAAAAAAAAAAGGGAAAGAAAAGGCTTTGGTTGGAATGAAAAGAAAAAGATTGTTTTTATTGCTGACAATGTAAGTGGAGAGATAAAACATGAAGACAGAGGCACAAACATGATTCCTTTTCTTGAAGTGGTTCTTCCGAGAAAAGTTGAGTAGTTTAGTGCTTTCATAGCTGGTGTTATAAAAGAGAACCTTTTTCTTCAAGGTTTCTGTTTCTATTTCTTTTATGAATGCAGGTTTATCTAGGAAAAACAAGCAAGATGATCTATTTCTGTCCTGTTTGACATCATTGACAGGTTTCGGGGATTTCAGTGGTTGGCTGTAAATATCCAGCAGAACGTGTTCTGGCTTGGAATGTGCTGAGAATTTGCTTCTGACGTTGAGTTGGTATATGAGGGAAATGAATGCAGCTGTCACTGCAGTGACTGGGAAAAGAGTTGTCTAATCCCATCGTTGAGGCCAAAATTCTCTCCAAAGTGTCTAATATCTTTGAGTGAATAGTGACACCTTCTGAGATGGACACATGGACTGATGAGATAAATTCTTCAGGCAAATTTAGGTTTAACGATGTGTTCAGAAAAAAGAAAGTGAGGAAATACAACTATGTACCTATTATTTACATCGTTGTTCTGAAATAATTTTTTCTATTGCTTTTTTCTATTCCTAACCAATTGCTCCTGCTGCTTCAATCAAAAGAGGTCTAATGTTGCATATCACCAGGATTCTTTAGGGGCTTTTTGTCAGTTGTAATAATAATGCTCAGAATTAGCAGCTTTTGGGAAGAAAATAATCCTGGTCACTGAGAATAAACATACAGTGAAACTTTTTACTTTGCAGAAGTCTGATAGAGCTCAAACGTAATACTTAAATGAATTTTGAAAGATAATACATTTGGGACTAAAGTTTAGGATTACAGGCTGAGACTTAAGTTCTTAGGATAAAAAGAAATAACGACTTTCTAGAGCCGTTAATTTTTTGGTGCTGCTCATTAGTCACAAACTCATTTCCTGGAATTTGGTGCTTGGTTTTGGGGGGTGCGGTTTGAGCAAATAAGCTTCCAAATGCAGATACAGGTGGTCTGGTAGTGTTGTTAAGATTTCCCCAATGCAACAAGCATTTGTAAACCTATCTTGAAAAGTTTTGTGGGGATAAGATAGCAAGAATTCTTAATTCTGTTTTTCCTTCCACAAACCGAGATGGAACATTGAGAAACCGTCTTTGTTGTATCCCTGGAAGATCACTCTTCAGTGAATCTGTTTGCAGAAATATAAGAAGTTACAGTAAAGGTGCACGTGCACTGAAACACTGGACATATGAGCTGGAACAGCTGAGGCTTAGACAGGAATTTTTCTTCTGATTCTCCTGCAGAGATTGTGTCCTGCGCCGCAGAAGTCAGTTAAGTAAGGGTGATGCCTTCACGCACTACCTCTCAGTTCACTAGAGGACTTGTGTCAGAGTCCACGATACTGTCACTGACTTGAGTCACGTAGTGGGTATTACAGGCAGGCAAGGCTTTTATGTCCTCCTCAGAAGGTAATTTCAAAGAGCATTGTGTTTGGCTTGTTATATACCTCAGTACTGGAAAGACTGAGACAATGGAAAGAGTACCAAAGCATAACTTTTCTTTTTTCAGCTTCTGGGAAAGCTGCCCTTTTCATCTTTGCTGTGACCTTTAGTTTGATGCGTCTTATCTTGTACAAAGTACTTTCTTCAGATAGTTTCTGAGAATTATTTCAGAACTCTTTATTTGCCTAGATACATGTAACTCTTGACTCTGACCTTTCTGGGTTTTCTTTTCTTTTTTTTTCTTCCTTTTTAATATTTTTTTTCCTCCTCAGACTTTTTTTGCTCAATTTTAGTTAGGTTTTCTGTTGATCTGTACAGTGTTAAAACCGAGTCGTGAGGGGTGTGAAAGAGGTAAATTAAATCTACATAAATACATACATAAATACACTGTTGAAGAAATACGGGATTTAGCTGCAATATAGCATCATTCTAGTGGTGGGTTAATCTTCTATTTCTATAGCCGTCATTCCAGCGGTGGGTATATTCTAGTGGGGGGTGCCTTTATTCAAAGTAATAAAAATATCAGTGATGTACGCATAGCAGTCAGACTAGTTAATGTTATTACTATCAGTTGATTATCCAAAGAGTATTAAACAAAATATATAATGGAAGAATTCATTTAGGTCAAGTTTTTTCAGTAGTTATGTTTTGTCTTTACCTTTTAATTTACTTTTTTAAAAGAAAAAATGTATATGATTTGAATAGAAGAAAAGGGATACACTTCTGTGTTGGTTTTCTGTTTAATTTTGTTCTAACGGGCTGATAGGTAAACTTGAATACTTAAAGACAATTCTTGTTGCAAGACAGATTCGTGGAAGAAAAGAGAAGCCTCAAACATTTTTCTGTGGCTTTGGTGTGGCCCCATGGGACTGCAAGCCGGATGTATCTCTACTTGCAACAAGAATTTTGCAGAAAATTCTTGATACTGTATTTTGACACCTTCTCAGAGGTATTTGCACAAGGAGCCTAGGCACAGCCTCATTTTGTGATTTTAACCAAACCAACCCACAAGGATTGCATCTACTTTGACTTGCAATCCCAAGTATTAAATGTTAGTGTGAGCAACTAATGTGCCATTGAAGTACCCCATTCAGAAATCTTTCCTTCCTTTTTTCTCTTTGCTCCAGAGATGTGTGCAGTGATTTATGCTGCCATATAAGTAACTTCTTAGCACATGTAAGGTCTCACAACATACTGCCTTTCTTTTTTTGAATCTCAGATTCTGCAGAATCTAAATGTCATGTTGTCCGTCAGAACTTTATATGAACTGGATATAATTCACAAATATGAAGCTTATATCTCAGCTGCTGGTGTTAGGAAATGAGAGTAATAAAATTCAGTGCCCGGTCTTACGGAAGGGGAAGGTGATATTTGTTTACAGAGTCATTAAGCCAGCTGATTTTTACCTACTCTCATTTTCTCCTAAGTTTAACTCACTCATACTCACAGGTACCAAGACATGTCCAAGTTGTCTGGACTCAGAGAAAAAGGGACACTGCTATCCAGCCCTCTTTGCATACCTAGGGTTCTTGAATGATGATGATGAGCTAGTTTTTGGACAGATCTTTCAGGCCTTCTAGGGATCAGTAATTGTCATGGGGTTTTCCTATGCCTCAGAGTATTTCTGTCTGTAGCCTCCATAGATCTTAGGCCACGCAAGTTGCTGTGCGTTGTCTGTTTTTCCTCATTTAAATGTATGCTTAATGTATGTATGTGGTCTGTTCTCTTCTTAGGTTAGAGGAAGGGGAATGGTGTATGTAATCTGCTGCAACCGTGTCGCCGTCCTTCTGATGTTGGGATGTGGGTCTGATGAGTCATTTCTGCTGTGGTTTGATTTATCAGGGTGCAGGCCTTTTGATCTCAATATAAACAGCGTGTTCTGTAGTTTCACTGCTGGGGAATGATGTTCTGGGGACGGTGCCCTGTGACATACAGACCGTCCTTTTCGCTCATTGTTCTGCCGCTTACACAGACAAGCGTTTTCATTCAAACCAGTCAAGTGTTTCTGTTACAAATACCTAAAAAGGTCTAATCAGTAAAGTAACTTAACAGTCAACTAGTAATTATGATTTCATCAAGAAGGATATGACCATGGCTTCCAGGTTCTTAACAAGTTGGAGAGATGAGTAGAGTCATATAGTGTGACATAAATCTAATCTATAGCCCCATCTTTGTAATGTTTATATTTTTAGGAATGTAAATTTCCATGTGCATTTAATGCATTTTACATAGCACTTGAAGAAGGATTTTGGCGACAGATTACCTTCTTTCTTTTTCCGCCTGCCTCGTGAAGCAGCAGCAGCCAGGGTCGGGAGCCGCAGAAGGCAGGGCTGCACGGGGACTACCGTTCCATCCCATCATTTCTTTCCATTTGAATGCCATAAAACCCAGTCCTAAAAACTGCCGGGTGAATGGCTTACTGGTCACTGCTAAATCTCCATGCTTTCCGGTGGAAATGCTTTGTAATACAGCTGTACATGACTTTGTTATACCCAGGAGGAGGAAAATGATGTCATGTGTGGGCTAAATATTTGTGTTTGAGATTGTAATGCACAGGTATTATTACAGCATGAGTGGCATGACAGCTTTTTAATGGGTTCAGCTCAGGATTTGTCAGCTCACTGGGACTATTGCTAGAAGGCAAAGCTATAATGCCCACAGGAATGTTGACAGATTCAATTTTTACTTACGGACTAAGGTGATGGTCCAGTAGGAACAAGTGATTTACAGTACTTTGGCCTTGGGGTTTCAGTTTCTGTAAGCCTGAAAGGGAAATAGCTGGCAAGAAGCATATTCTAACCTCTCGCATTAACCTCCAGTTAACTTTGTTAGCTTTTCGTTTCACTTGGTGAGTGGTTTGTTTGATGTAAGCATCAGAACTTTGAATTTGATTCTTTTCAAAAACAGT